GTGTTACTGTTTGCCTGTTCAGGTGTCTGCCTGCCTGTGTGTGTGTAACTGCCTGTGTGTGTGTGTGTGTGTGACTGTCTGCCTGCCTATGTGTTACTGTTTGCCTGTTCATGTGTCTGCTTCCCTTTGTGTGTGTGTGTGTGTGTGACTGTCTGCCTGCCTTTGTGTGTGTGACTGTCTTTCTGACTGCTTGCCTGTGTGTGTGTGTGACTGCCGGCTTGTGTGTGACTGTCTGTCTGTGTGTGACTGTCTGTCTGTGTAACTGTCTGCCTGTGTGCATGTGTGACTGCCTGCCTGTGTGTGTGAGACTGTCTGTTTGACTGCCTGTGTGTGACTGCCTGCCTGTGTGACTGTCTGTTTGACTGCCTGTGTGTGACTGCCTGCCTGTGTGTGTGTGACTGCCCACCTGTGTGTGTGTGTGTGACTGTCTGCCTGTGTGTGTGTGTGTGACTGTCTGCCTGTGTGTGTTTGACTTTCTGCCTGTGTGTGTCGCTGTAGCTGTGTCGTTTTGTGTTCTTGTGCCTGTATGTGTGACTACCTGCCTTTAACTGAGTGTGTGTGTGCCTATCCTAGTGCGTGAGTGTCAACATGCCTGTAACGAAGTGTGTATGACTGTCTGCTAGTAATGGAGTATGTGTGACTGTCTGCTTGTGACTGTGTGTGTGACTGTCTGCCTGTGACTGTGTGCCTGTCTTCCTTTAACTGTGTGTTTGGCTCTGTGACTGTCTGCCTGTAACTGAGCATGTGTGACTGTCTACCTGTAACTGTGTGTGTGTGACTGTCTGCCTGTAACTGAGCATGTCTGACTGCGCCATGAGGACTTTTGCACAGGGCGCCTAATGGCCTAATGCCGGCCCTGCGTGTGGTAGCCCAGGAATAAGAATTACCCCCATGATGACATACCGTTTGCAAAAGTAGACAACCCAAGGTATTGCAAACGGGGTATGTCCAGTCATTTTTAGCAGCCACTTAGTTACAAACACTCGCCAAATATTTGTTTTGGCCAGTGTTTGTGACTAAGTGGCTACTACAAAAGACTGGACATACCCCACTTGCAATATATTGGGTAGTCTACTTTTGCAAATGGTATTTTTGAGAATATATATATATATATATATATATATTTTTTTTTTTTTTTATTTATTTATGCATAGCTAAGTTGAAGATATATATCTATAGTCATGTTAGCTGTGTGGAAGACTTGTAGACCAGCTAAGGAAAACCTTTAAGGGCTGAGTGGAGTTGAGTGACCCTTGGGGACCAATGCTATTAGCATACTTTATTGTGTCTGCACATTTTATGTAAATTTTTCTTTTGTTTTTAAAATACAACACTATAGTTGCATATTTATCTCTTTGCTTTATAGAATAATATGCTGAATCTCAAGGTAACACAATACTTACCTTAATACACTGACACTAGGTGATTTATGTATTAGGTGAATATGTATTTTGCACAATATTTGCATCAATGACACTTATTGTTTTGTCCTGCTTGCACTTTATTTTGAATTGAAAGAGGCAATTCAGTCTACTTGGCAGCAATTTATGATTGGACTTTATTTTCTGTTGCTCTTTATCAGTACATAGTTTTTAATCTTTGTTAGGCACTGTGTCAAGAGGCTTCAGGCTAGTCCTAGTGGTTTTGGATTTCTTTCCATCTGGATAACACTGTGTCTTCAACATTTGCTTCTCTAACATTCAGATTCCTGCCCTCTCTGCTCACCCAGGTTCCTGATGCTGTCTGTTTTGTCATGCTTTTAGAAAGATCATCTATCCTATCCACCCCTTAGCTCAAGGGGCAATTGATATTCTTTGCAGTGACTGAAAAAACATTGACTCGTATTTAGTCCTTGCATTTTTTTGGCCATGGGCTTATGGACAAGAGACTAAAATAAGAAAGTGCTTATTCGAGAATAGGCCAGACTCATTAAAAATGTAATCAATACAAAAAAATATTGCAGGAACACACTTAAGAGACACACAAGGAGCCCTGATTGCAAGGGAAAAGCTATTGAGAATGCCCTGGGATTATTATAGGGTGGTCATTTGTGGTCATCATTGGTCTTAGATTGTCCTCAAGTACCAGGGAAGAAGCATGAATAATGAACCAACACTAATGGGGACATAGTGATACTGACCTGTGTACTCATAAGGGGATGTAGCTGAAAGATATGAGAGAAGGTAACGATGGGACCTGGAATGCAGGCAGGTTGAATTAGTTAACAGTTGATGTAGCGGAGCTCCAATACCAAGCATAGGTATCTCCGATATTCCTTCCTTGAAGCTGAAAGAAGCAGTATAATAATTCAAGACACTTTCCCCCAGCAACTAGATGACACATAGTTCTGGGACTCGTCTGGGGTCTCCTGTATTGGTCTCTTTCCTAAAGGGGAGAAATATCCTGGGCTAGAGACACAGGGTTCCAGATTTGCTATTTGGGTGTATGGGTGTCACGGTGGCCCCCTGAGAGTGGAGTCATATTGGGATAGGTTTGAGTTAGTCACCATAACTGGGGGTGGAAGATAGACACTATGTGTCAGTCCCCAGATTGCTTTTGTGTTTTGGTCACCCTGTGCCCATTATTGGTGCAGGGTATGTTAAATGTATTGCTGGTCTGTGCCTCTCCCCCTCCTCCTTTTTCCTGCCCTATTGTTTCCCTAGCAGGGCGTTGTCCCAGGGACACTACCAGACCAGTTTAAACTGGCTGCCCTGTCACCCCTCAATTTCCCATCAGCCCTTGCTATTGTCTGAACCCACCCTTCTTTATACTATAGTACTCTATGCACCCTATTGTATATAAATTAGGCTATTGGAGGCTTAAAATATGTGTGCTACTCCTTTCTATCGCTGCCGAATTTCCTTGCGGCTCTCCTACAGAGACCGCATAACCTACTCCCAAACGACATTCTCTCCAACCCTCTGGTGGCCATCCCTATTAAGTCTTGGAAGTTGTCTTGTGCCAGGTTGGGGGCAAGCCCACTGTCTTCTCTACATTTGCCCTTGCTGCGGAATCCTGAGTTCCAGAACGGATCCAATACAAACCCATTCACTATATGGTCAAGGCACGGTCTCGTGTTGTTGAGTTCCTTCATAGATTTTGACACACAAAAAATTCTTACCATAGGTTGCCTCAGAGAACGCTTCCCGGGCCTTCCCATACCCTGGTTCGTATACTTTCAGGTACGGCACTACTATTGCACTAAAAGCCAGCACCACACGGTCTATGACTGGAGTAATTCTCTGGATTATCTGTTATGCACCACGAATCCAGCCTTTTACTCCATATCCACTCTCTATGCTCTTTTGTGATACACACTACAAATGGGTCTGGGAATATGGAAGAATCATTTGATACGTTTTTATGAATAAGTGCGTTTTTAATGATTGTTGGGACCCATCCCTGGCAACTCCGTACCTAATAGTTGTTTCTCCATGATCATAGCAGCAGTAGGCCACAAGACCATTCTTCAGGTCTGGAACCAGCTGGGTACTCCACCATTCAATTTATTCTTAAACAAACTCAAGTTCCTTTTTTTTTTTTAAAACATGGATTGGCTTTAACCCCTTAAGGACACATGACATGTGTGACATGTCATGATTCCCTTTTATTCCAGAAGTTTGGTCCTAAAGGGGTTAAACCTTAACCAACAAGGAAATGTTGGTCAAAAAATTCTTCCTTACATGGAGGTGGTATATTCCCACATTGGATACCTGCATTGAATCTAAAATCAGAACAATGCTGGAGTACACAGCTTGGTTCTCGGCCGAGGTGGTGTCCTTGCAGGATCCTTTAAAGGACCACTATAGTGCCAGGAAAACATACTCGTTTTCCTGGCACTATGGTGCCCTGAGGGTTCCCCTCCCGTTGGGCTCTAGGGTGAGGAAGGGGTTAAACTTACCTCTTTCTCCAGCGCCGGGCGGGCAGCTCTCCTCCTCCTCTCCTCAATGCGCATGCGTGGCAAGAGCCGCGCGCAAATTCAGCCAGTCTTATAGGAAAGCATTCACAATGCTTTCCTATGGACGCTGGCGTCTTCTCACTGTGAAAATCACAGTGAGAAGCACGTAAGCGCCTCTAGCAGCTGTCAATGAGACAGCCACTAGAGGCTGGATTAACCCTAATATAAACATAGCTGTTTCTCTGAAACTGCTATGTTTATAGAAAAAAGGGTTAACCCTAGCTGGACCTGGCACCCAGACCACTTCATTAAGCTGAAGTGGTCTGGGTGCCTATAGTGGTCCTTTAACTACTCTATCTAATGCTACTCTACCATAACTATTTTTTATTCTTTATTTTTGTAGTGCATTTAGAGATACATGAATTGGAATTGACAAAAGATAGCCATGTAGATAGTTATTATAGATATAGGTAATGTCAAGAGAGACTGCACTTTTTTTCTTTTTCTTTTTCAATACATAAGACATAGTAAAACATAGGAAAATAAGCTAGGCAGATATGTCTAAACGATAAACAATCTATTTGAGAACAAACATGCTTGCAGCATCACAACAGCATTGGCAAACAGAATATAAACATAAGGAATAAACAGTGGCATGGTATAAACATTTGCACCATTTTGCAATGCTGTGACATGATAACTAATGTGTGTGCACCGTAGACGTGGGGATGCATGTGTGTGGCCGTCTCTTTCATTCGACTCCCTCTGCTGGGAAGCCGTTGGTGCATACGGGTGGGCTGTGTAGGGCCGCTGCTGTGCAGGTGCGAGAAAGGGTGTTCCTCCAGCTCCAGGCTGGTGTAAGGGCATGCATCTCGGTGCCACAAACTCGGTGACTTCCAGAGTCCCAGTTTCCTCCTCGTGTGGGACTGCTGGAGGGCCTGGTGGTCTGCTGCTGCTTACGGCGCTTGTGCCTCCGCCGATGTGGAAGTTGCTTCTGGGCTTTAGCCCTGGCGGCCTTCAGCCCAGGTGGGCTATGGAGAGTATATTGTTGCTGCGCCTGAAGGTGTCCCCCTTGCTCCCCGCTGCCTGTGCCCCTGCTCACCGGTGTTTGGCTTGTTTTGCTGCTCGTTCCGGGCTGCCTGTTTACGCTGATAACGTTTCTCCCAGAATCGTAGGAAGATTTCTTCGAGGCGTTGCAGGGAATCTGTGGCAGTACCTTGATGGGGCCTGTGGCTTGGAAGCAGGCTTTGAGTATAGGGTGAGTAATCAGACGCCATCTTGAGTGCACCACGAGGACAAGCGTCTTGATGCTATATTCGAGACTTGAATCTCGTTCCGGGTAGATTGCTCTCAACTCCCTTTCTTAATGAGGTCCTAGATAACCCCTACCGGAACGGGGGGGGGGGAGGGTAGTGGAATTCAGGGCTCTGGCCGCTCTCTTGGTATGCCCGGCCGGGTCATGTTCGGAGGATCGGCCGCCTCCTCCGCCAGGCCCCAGACTACACCCCAAGTGTCGTTCCTCCGCCGGACACGGGCCAGCGAGAAATGTCTAGTAGCCGCTTGCACACAATGGATCCCAGGGGTCTCTGGGTGTAGAATGCAGGAACGGATGTGAGTTGCGTCCGTGGTCAGGCCCCCCCCCCATAACTGTTTTTAATGTTCTCTTGGAGCGGTGGGACAGGGAGGTTCAATGGACCGCTGCTTGTGTATAGTTCTCGACTTCGAAAAAGTTTCAGGTTAAACCTAAATTGATTCTGTAATGGAGCCAAGCTGGGTCTGTCCAAACTCTGTCGATTTTGATCCTGTCGACCCTCACTAGACCTATACTGTCTGAAAAATCTTCATAAATATATTATACCTGACAAATTTTAGTGAAACAAATGTTCTTGTTCAGGGTTGCAGCCACAAAAGTTGGAGAAATGGATCATGCAGTCCGCTAATGCAACTCAGCTTGCTGAAATGCTTTAAGAAGTAAATGCATGTCTCTGCAGGTTTATTTTATAAAAGTGCAGATTTCAATAGAAATAAATTTACTCTGTTAGCTCTGTCACCCCTCCCAAAAGAGCGTTTCAAAAAGATAAAATGTGTTGGCATTTCACTGAAATTTCAATGCAGTCAAAATATATCATAGCAAGACAAAGTCTGGGCTGGGTTGGAAGGGGAGGCCTTGTTAAGAGATCTGCAACTTTTACAAACTGTTTTTTATATACCCGCAATGAAAAAATGCATAATTAAATGCATGCATTTTTCATTGGGTATATTATTATTATTATTATTATTAATATAGCGCCAACAAATTTCCGCAGCGCTTTGCAGTGGGTGGACTAACAAACATGTAGTTGTAACCAGACAAGTTGGACACACAGGAAGAGAGGGATTGATGGCCCTGCTCAATGAGCTTACATGCTAGAGGGAGTGGGGTATAGTGACACAAAAGGCAAGGATCAGGGGTGGACTGACAACTGACAATAGAGGATCAAGGTCCACCTCCTGATGCAAGGTCTTTGTGAACTCTCACACAGATATTATATGCACGCTGCCTAGCACGCATAATGGCTGTGTGAGAGGGCTTCCAGACAGGGCCAGATTTACAATTAAGGGGTCAATCCAACCAAAAACTGTTTTAATAAAACACTGTTTTTGAATGAAGTAACCCTTACTGGAATTAAAATAAAGAAATAAAGGAAATGTAATCACACGATTGCTCTGTGGTTGTTAGTGACATCACAAGTAGAGTCCCCCACATGTGCAACCATACTAGTCCATACAAGTAGCCTCCAAACAGGGCTGGTGCAAAGATTTGTAGCTACACAGGCAAAGTAGCATTTTGCTGCCCCCCCCCACAAAAGAAAAAAAACACAGGGGTAGGAAAGGGACTGTAGATGTGATACCGGAGAAACTGACGGAAGCAAAGCACAGAGAGATGGACACAGGTTTCTTCAGGAAGGAAGAGATTCTTTATTGGATCACCGATCGGGACTCAGAGGGACTAATGTCACCAAAAATACAGCAAGTTCTGAGCCCTGAACAATAGTGCAGGCTCCCTATATAGGCACATAACTCCTCCCATATTAAGCTCCACCCGCACATTCTCTTGACCAATCATTACAAATAAGAATTAACTTCCTGCTTGACCGCATGGCTTGTCCAGCACAATGGAGGAGGGGAATACTACATCCTGTATTCTTGCACATGCTCCGTACACTACTGATCGTATCTTGCCTCGTGCAACCAACTGATCGATACGTCAGCATATGCACGTACACATGCCACGTGGTAATCTCGGCCTACTAAATTTATTTTTACCGAGATTCCACCACATTCCCCCCTTTGATGCCTCTTGATATTTTACAATTACTTGAGGCATCACTTAACCTTGGTTTGCATACACCACAAGTTACCTTTGAACCAGACCAGACTTATCCTATGATGTGAATCTTCAACACTCGTCTTCCTGCATTGGTTCTCCCTGATCTAGAGCCTTATATTTATAAATTGCCATTATCTGTGCAGCAGCCTTCCTCTCTGCTATATTTTCTATCAGGCTTTGCACAGACCTAACTACTAAGGGTATAAGACACGGCAGGAGTAGACACAACATGAAAATCAGTAGGACTCCACCTACCACTGCCTTAAGCCCTCCAAACCACTCATACCAGCTACCAAACCAACTACTTGGATTGTACCCTTTCCATACCTGAGTAGGCACATGCGCTAGTTTAACCATATGGCTAGTAAGCTCAGCTATTGCTTGCCCTTCGTCATCTATTTGAAGACAGCAATTGCTCAGGTTAAACTTCCCACATACACCTCCCTCTACTGCCAAAAGATAATCCAAGGCTAATCTATTTTGGTAAACTGCTGTCCTCATCCTGGTATTATGCTTCGCTAGAAGATTGAGCGCTTGTGATGTCTCGTTAGTAATGATCTCAACCACCGCCTGTAACCTTATAATGCGGTTGAGCATATAAATAGGGGTTCTATAACCAAAGGTACCATCCTCTGCCCACGTGGCTGGCCCATAATAATCTATAATACGCTGGGGAGGCCATTCATTATCTTCCCAGGCACCTATCTCTATGGGTCCCCTTTTCTTCCTATGATTCACATCATACACTTTAACACCTAAAGTCTCACCTGTTTCAATAGGCAACAAGAAGAAGGATGGTTTTAACATACCCAACACACATGCCCCTTCCCAGTCCTGTGGTAACTCCGAATAGGCCTTCTTACCACAGATCCAGTACAAATTCGCTGGGGCTCTCCAGTTAGATGTGATGGATAGATCAAACCATACGTCCTTTAAATTGGCATATCTTGCAAACGGGTTAGATGGTTCTGAGACATTTGAAGCCGACCACCAAGTTGTATTCTTTGTATCATCATCATAAGCTTTTTGCCCTAGACAAGTTAATTCTCCTACAGAAGTATTATACATCATTCCTTTCCTCGCTATGCAAACATAACCTATGATGGAGGTCTTCAATCTCCACTCAGATTTACCTCTAACACTCATATGATAGTCGGCTTGTGTAGATATTAATTGGTCAACTGCCTCAGAACCGGACATTACCTCCTTTGCTTCCCAAGGCCATTGGTCTCCCATGTTAGTACCTCCACACACATAGCAGTTGGTAACATTAAGACTACCGGCAATACTCTCGGCTAAATCAATGAACAAGTTTTTAGCATTATGGGGGATCTTATTATCTATGCTCATCTCTTCATAAAAGGAATGGTATACTTGATGAGTTTGGGAGGTTACCGTATCAGTCTCTATCCCTATAAACAATATTGTCCCAGGGTCTAAACCCGTCCCATATATTTGAAACCCAAATAAATTACCATATTTATCTAAGAACTTGTCAGGGTTATTTATAAGTATATGGATTGGATTGCATTCCATAGACTTACAATATAACTATGAATTGGGGGATAAATATTCACAGGTAATCTATCTTGTACCCATTTCTGTACCTCCTCCATAGTCTCACCCAACTCTACAACCTGCTGCCGGGTAATTCCTTCTCCCAACTGACTCAAATCCCCCCTTAAGTTACCAAGCACGGGAGGTGGTCGCCCGTACATGATTTCAAAAGGAGAGAGGCCCATCCTTCTGGTAGGTGTACTACGGATTCGCAATAGAGCTATGGGCAAGAGAACGTTCCACTTAAGTTGGGTTTCCTGACACATTTTAGCCAACTGATTCTTAATAGTTCTATTCATTCTCTCTACCTTACCAGAACTCTGGGGTCTATATGCCGTATGAAGCCTCCACTTTATACCAAGCATATGAGTCAATTGTTGTAGGCACTGATGAACAAAAGCTGGACCATTGTCCGATCCTATAGAGCAGGGTAGTCCATATCGGGGTATTATTTCTCGTAGCAGGAATCTCACGACTTCTCCTGCTTTCTCTGTACGAGTAGGACATGCTTCTACCCAGCCTGAATAGGTGCACACCACTACCAGAAGGTAGCGATGTCCACCCGATTTAGGCATCACTGTAAAGTCAATTTGTAAATCGGACATGGGAAGTCCCCCCATAAACTGGACTCCTGGTGGCTTTACTGGTCCTTGTCTTGCATTATTTTTAGCACACGTTACACATCTACGTACAATGGCCTGAGTCAAGTTGGACAATCTTGGTATGTAGAAATGTTTTCTGAGAGATTCTTCTGTACTGTCTCTCCCAGAATGTGTCCCGTTATGATAGTTTTGGACAATTTCTACCGCTAGTGATGCTGGAATAACTATTCTTCCATCTTCTAACTGATACCATTTGTTCTCCAAATACTTTCCAGGTTCAGTCCTTAACCACTCCTCTTCTTGAGCTGTATAAATTGGAGTCCATTGAGACAGTGGAGTTGGTATAAGAGCAGCTATATGCCCTACATATTCCTGTCTTCCTGATTCAGCAGCACGCTTAGCTGCACTATCTGCCATCCGATTCCCTTTGGTTACATCACCATCTCCTCTCAGATGCGCCCGACAATGTATAATACCTACTTCTTTCGGCTCCCACACTGCTTCCAATAGTTGTAGGATCTCAGCTGCGTATTTGATTTCTTTGCCTTCTGAATTCAATAGTCCTCTTTCTTTATACAAAGCTCCGTGGGCATGAGTGGTTAAAAACGCATACTTGGAGTCCGTGTAGATGTTCACTCTTAAACCTTCAGCCAATTGTAACGCTCGTGTCAGTGCTATCAATTCTGCCTTTTGTGCTGATGTTCCTTTTGCCAGTGGCCAAGCTTCTATCACCTTGTCTATCGTTGTT